TATATTCACACACACACATATATATATTATATATATATATATATATAGATATAGATATAGATATGTTTTAGTAAACCCTAAACCCTAAACCCTAAACCCTAAAACATGTATATCTACATATACTCATTCTTATGTGCCTTCTCATTACACGTATGTAGCCCTCCAATCACTCACTTACAATTACCTCGTACTCATATCACTCTGTATCAGATGGAGCGTCATCGTGATGAAATGCTGCGCATGCAAGCTGAGCACGAGGGACAACTCGCACGCCTCAAACACCAACGACTGTCGCAGAGTGGGGAACAGGCACTCTATGTACAGCAGCACCGGGTAAGACTGTTGTGTATGTGTGGGTTTGTTTGGGGTTGTTGGTAGTGTTGAAGGATATATGTATAGGTATAACAAGACCGGGTAAGTCGCTTGTGTATTGTGTGGGTTTCTTCGGGGTTGTTGGTATTGTCGATGGATATATGTTTAGGTACAACAAGACCGGGTAAGTCTCTTGTGTATTGTGTTGGTTTGTTTGGGGTTGTTGGTATTGTCGAAGGATATATGTATAGTTATAACAAGACCGGGTAGTGCTCTAGTGTATCATATGGGTTTGTTTGGGGAGTTTTATAACGTCGAAGGATATGTGTATATATGTGTAGCAATATTGAAGTAGCATTCTTATGTATACAAAAATGTCTGAGAAAACGAGGGTGTTTTATGATACATCATTCCGCAAATACGTATTCATGGAGTAGTACGCTAACTGAAGCTTGTGGATGTTGGCGAGTATGACAATGTCTAAGGATATATAGATATGTATAGCAATAGTGTGTAATGCTCTTTTGTATGGTGTGGGCTGTGGGTGGACTTAGGCTTGCGGATTTCTTGGAGTACGTAAATGTTTAGGAATATATATATTTTTGTTTAAATATACGTATGTACCTGCAAATACGTAAATTCATGGGCCTGTATAACACCCACAGGACGTTGACACCACCCGCGTGCGGCACGCTCGGGACTTTGAGGACCTTATAAGGCAATACGCTATCCTCAAGGATGAACAGACAAAGTCTGCCAAAAGGGAACGGGAGAGCATGCTCAGACAACACGACGCGGAGTTATATGACATGCGCAAACGACACTTAAGAGAAACACTGCCTACGGACGAGGAACTCATGGCACGCAGACGGGTGGGTGTTTATGGAAGATTTGTGTATATGTGTATGTGTATTTGTATGTATATGTATATGTATACATGTATGTATATGTACATGTCCTTGCATATATATTATTTTATTTTATATTATATTATATTGCATATTAAATATATATATATATGTATATATATCTATATCTATATATCTACATCTATATATGTTATGGACATATACTAATATGTGCATGAATATATATATACATATAATATGTATTTATATATATATATATATATAAATATATATATATATATAAATATGTAACTTTGTTGTACAGCACTAGAGAACCGACAAATAGATGTAAAAAATAACAAGCATTGTATGTCCAACTATCACAGAATCATGCGAATGACTATAACATTCTATTTTGTATGCACATGCAGCAAAACCTTTCGATGTTACAATACGACTTCCATATATACGTTAAACGTTGCAACCACCCACTTACCGAATGACAAGACATAATCGGGACAAGAATGTGGGCTAGGCAACCCTATTTTTAAATGCCGGTCTGGACTACAAATCCTAATTTTTATTTTTATGCTAGTGTCAACAGGACAAAACTCAGAACAGACTTATCGTTAACGGAATCATGGCTCATTTTAACGACGTCTATTCCTTAATCTCTGCCTAATTTTATTTAATTGATTAATTATTATTAATTTGTCCCCGCCCATTAATACTTTACCACTTGTTAATGATTTGTCTCTGCCCATTAACACTAAATTTATTATTTATTAATAAAATGTCTCTGTCCATTAGTACTAAATTATTTAATTTTCATTAATCTGTCTCTCCCCAGGACTCACACAGCGAGCCACGCGCGCCCCACACCACTCAGCGCAGCAACAGTGACAACAAGACCAGCAATAGTATAGCGCAACAGTACAGTAATAGCAGCACACACCACCATACCGGGATGGATTCCGGGATGGAGCCGGTACCAACTCATGCACACGAACCTCCTCCTCCTCCGGTGGTCAGTGAAGTGCAGCCACCGCCGCCCCCGCCGTCACCACCTCCACCCAAACCACCCGCACCCCCAACTCTACCCAAACTCACTCGCAAGGGTACGTGGGGAAGTAAGCTACTGCATGAGAGCTATAAGATCGTCTCAAAGGTGTGGATGGTGTGGATGTGTAGGTGTGAGTGTGTGTGTATGTGTACATGTGGAATACGTATATGTTTACGTATATATATATATATATATATATATATATATGTGTGTGTGTGAGTGTTATATATATTTTTTATATATATATTATTTATAATATATATATATATTGCATATATATATATTATATATATTCCATATTATT